TGTAAAGTTTCACTCAATCCACAATAAAAACCTTAATTTAAAAAATAAGAAAAGCAAGTACAGGTATACCTCACTGATACTGCAAGTCAGGTTCCAGACCCCTTCTTTCAAGTGAGCACTGCAATACAGTTAAGTCATGTGATGTGTTGGTTTCCCAGAGCACAGAAGAGCTGTGCTGACGCTAGCTAGACTGTAGTCCATTAAGTGTGAAAGCATGATGAAGAAGTACGAAATAGTGTGAAGACCACCACCATGGAACACACCAGGTGAACAGAAGCTGCCGAACAATGGCGCTACTAGCTTTGCCCAAGGCTGGGGGGGTCACAAACCTTCCATTTGTACAAAATGACCATCTTTGTCAGATACAATGTCGTACTGCTTGGATGTTGCAAAATGTCATCAGTCCCCTGAAGAGGGAAACACAGGTTGCTATAGTCAAGCCTAAAGCGTGTTTGTGGACATTTGATTGTGGTTTGGGTGGACGCCAGTTTTCCATCCCACAGTACAGACCCACTTTGTTTCTGGACTTTGGCACTCTTCCCACTTCCTGTCTGGGCTCTCCATTTCCGTTTGAGCTTTCCCGTCCCTTCCTGCCTTCTGAGGTTTGTGCTATAACAACTTCTGGGCAAGTGCTATTAAGAACCCATTTTAACTGGTTTTCTGAACTTTGCAACTTCTTCTATAATTAATCCTCAAGCGAGAACTCTGCTCTTTGAACTGAAGTAAAACAGAGAAGTTTTAGGATTTAAAAGATGTGGGGTTTAACGAAAGCAAGTTGAAAGGCAGAATTATCCTCATGAGATCAGTGCATTTAGTGGGTGGTACTAGTTTCAGATGAGGCTTCCTGGGCAGTGGGCAGTGGCCCCAGACAGGGGAGCCACCTGGCCCTGTAGCCGCTCTGCTCTCTTCGGGTCTCGGGATGGCAGCCAGAGCCCAGCAACCAGCATATCCAAAATGCAAAGCACTTCAGCGGCAGACGCAGGAGCTGGGAAGAGGAGGGAATAAAGACAGAAATGAAAATAGATGGGGAAAGCCGGACAGAAAGTGAAGACCAAGGTGGAGAAACGGAGATTTGAGGCATGACTCAGGAGGAGACTGTGGTGGACAAACTTGTGGAATGTGCAGTCTGAAGGGCCCTTGACAGAGCCCAGAGGGCCAGATCTCTGTCACCTTCCACCTCACCATCCAGAAGATCCCCACATATAATGCACTGATGTTTCCTCCTCACTCACGTGACCATATCACAGGTCACGTGTATTGCAGTTTCCCGCCATTCTGTCAGACCCTGGGACACAGCAGAGGAGCACATGCTGCCCAGGTCGATGGGAGTGTATGGAACATAGTCACACTCAGCCCAAGATGTGTTCATTGCTGCCTTTCTGCCTCGTCCACTCACCAGTGGACCAACGTGGTCGCCAGCAAGCTTGCATGCCTGCTTATGTGTTCCCTTTGAGTTTCAGTCTTGGAGGGGGGTTTGTCCTGAAGGGACTTAACTGATTGCCTTGATGGCTCCCCAGGGAACAACTTGCTTCTTCTCCTAATAGGCAATCAGCCTGCTGTTTTTGTTTTCGACTTTTCCTGCTGCTCCTTCTTTTAGTAAGTATCTTCTGTTCCTCTAGCGGCTCCAGGTTGGTCTGCTTTTCCTTTCAAGTGGGAATGTCCCACCTCAGATAGTATCCATTTGACCTAACTTCGATGGCTTGATGATCAGAACTCAAACAGAGGAAGATAAAGAAATTTGATACAGGAAACAAGTGTAATTTGCTACCATTTGATGAACTTGACCCATAATTATGGATGTAATAGCTCAAAATACCAACCGAGAGGGAAGGAGTCTTCACCTCAAGGATCAAACATATCCCCTCTGTACACAAGATTGATAGGGACGGGCAACTTAGACATTAGCTACCTAAAAAGGGTGGTGGTGGTGGCTATAAAGGCATGAAGTGACTGGTTTACAAGTTTTCAAGAGGGAGTTTAGTTTCAGAGTGTGGAAGAAGGTACAGTCCTCAATGAATAATAGTTTTCATCTTGTCTAGATGAGTCTGGTGAAAGGAGATGGGGATAAGAGTCTTATGATTCAACAGTAATAGTTATTGCAACTGTCACAACTGTAAAAGCAAAAGTTTTTGTATCTTACAGTACAGGAACAGAGAATCCTAGGACCATCAAGGGAGAAGAGCACAAGCGGAATATGGGACCTTATCCAGAGAAGCAGCAACACCAGACACGGAGACAGATGAGGACATGGAGAGAGGGAGCAGCTGAGGACTCAAGACTCATGGAAAGAGAGGGACTGAGTGCTGGTGGCCAGGAGGCCGCCGGCTTGCAGAATGTGCCCTTTGTATGTTTAAATGATTACATTTTCCTGAGCATTTTAGTGTAATCAAAAAACAAACAGAGGGAACAGAAGCAAATACTGCTGAATGGTGCTGCATGAAGGAGTTGTAATCATTGCAGTGATACAAAATACAGAAGGATGATTGCAAAACTGATGCTCTCCCATGTAAACCATCACTCAGTGCACAATAAAAGCTTTCAACAACAATAACAAATGGGGAAATCCAGTAGTGGCATAGGGAAAGAACAAGAAAGCAGAGCATGTGAAGGAGGGTACAAAACCAGCAAAAAGAAGAAACAAGCCCCAAGAAAAGTGTGAGAAACACCCTTACAAAGGCTCCAGGGACTGAAGGTGCTTTGCACCACAATTATCCATCAATTCAAACCAAAATCCCACTGCCATCCAGTCGACTTTGGTTTCCAAGACTTCCCACCCTACACGTGCAGACAGCCTCATCTTTCTCCTGCAGAGTGGCTGGTGCGTGTGAAGCAGCAACCCTTCAGTTACCAGCCAAGCATGTAACCACTGCTCCTCTAGGGTGCCAGTCGCCCATTAGTATTTCCTGGAAAAGGTCTACTCAATGAGGTGACTGAAGTGAAGTCAGAAGAAAGATGAATTCCTGGTGAAGAATTATAAAAACCTAAGGAAGACTCAGAAAGCACCGATACCTGGGAATGATGGTACTGGCAAAGAATACTGACCATACTGTGGACCGCCAGAACAACAAACAAATCTGTTTGGAAGAAGTGCAGCCAGAATGCTCCTTAGAAGCCAGAATGGCCAGGTTTTATCTCGTGGGCTCAGGAAGGAGCAGTTCCTGAAGAAGGACATCATGCTTGGTAAAGTGGAGGGTCAGCGCAAAAGAGGACAGCCCTTGGTGCCATGGACTGACAGTGGCTGCAACAATAGGTTCACACATCGGACCGATGGTGAGGATGGCACGGGAGCCGGTAGGGTTTGTTCTCTTATAGACACAGGGTCGCCATGAGTTGGAACCACCTCGATGGCACCTAACAACAACAAATTCTATTCCAACCAGGATATGGGAGTGCTTCTGTTTCCAACTCACAGTGAGGCATGAATCCTAGGAGACCAAACCTTTTCTAAAGTCCACCATCTGGATTGACTTACTTTGCCCTGTGTTCTCAGATGTTATAAAAACTGAAAGTGCAGCTCAACTATCAAGCTGTTTCCCAGACATACAGAAAGCAGTACAGAGGATGGGATGGACAAACCGTACACATTCTCCAGCAGAGAGCGAGCCTTCCTCGGTGCGGTTTCCACGCTCCGAGGGTTAGCACTGCCACCCTTCTTCCTCTTGGTCATTGCTTTGATTTTCAAAGACACTCTTTCTGCTTGGACTGCTCATGGGTGTTCACACGCACCTGACACTCTGCAGAGTCTGAAGTCGCTTTCGATTCCTCTCCAGTTCTAGCTTTCGCTTTTCAATTTTGGCTTCTAAATTCGCTTCATCAGAGGCCACGTTATTGAGCAAGTCTTTGGTCTTCTGCACCTGGGCCTACATTTAACGGGAAATAAAGGAGACAGTGTGCCAATAAAACCACCATTTGGATTCTTTGAAGAGAGGTAGTTCTCAATCTGTCGACAGAACGAAATCACACTAAACAAAAACAAAAGCAGACAAATGGAGCAAGCAGCCCGCCTTCTACCCCCTAGCTACCCGTTACTGAACCAGCTACTTCCAAAGAGAACATGCACCGTCCTGTGTCAGGCCCAGGGAGCAAACAGTGATGGAAACAGCAGTGCCCTGACCCAGGTGGCAAGAGGCTTCAGCTGACATCGCTCTCCAGCCAGGGCAGGTCCACTCACACCTGCCTCTGGGCCCCATCCACAAATCCCAGTCCCTCTTGCGTACTGCCAGGGCTCTGGTGCTCTCCCGGCCCCACCTCTAGTTCTCCCCAAGAGCCCTGGTTCCTGGGAGCAGAGAAATGAGATTCAGACGCCAGGTTCTGGGTACTGTGAGCACTGGCTGCTAGGAGCATGCTCAGAGCTAAGAAACATGTTAAGTATGTACATGGGCGTGCGCGTGTATGCGCACACATACAGATGTGATGTGATGTGTGTGTGTTGTTGTTGTTAAATGCTGTCGAGTCAGTTCTGACTCATGGTGACCCTGAATAGGGTTTGTGAGAAATGACTGGTGGGTTTAAACTGCTGACCTTGTGGTTCAAACTGACCTCACAGTGCTGTGCTTTATCCTACAGTGCCACACCAGGACTCGTAGGTATATGTGAGTATATATACATATATATATGAAGTCCTGCTGTGGCACTGTAGGATAATGCACTGGACCACAGGTTACTTTGAACAGCAAGGTCAGCAGTTCAAACCTACCAGCTGCTCCTTGGAAACCCTCTATGTATGTACACTGAATCAGAACCAACTCAATGGCACTTAACAATACCATATATATTTGACAACCATGCATACAACCACGTCCAATAGCAGGATTCATCGAACCTTTTCCCTGTACAACAATCAGAAACTGGTACCCACTACCCTTCACATGTTTCCGTATTGGATCAGCCCCTTCTAGGGGCTATTTCCCACCTCTGCTGCCACATCATTCTCTCCAAGCTGAGATTCTGAGTCCCCGCCACCACCACCAATGCTGTTTGGCCCAGGAGCATGATGGTCTGATGACAAAGGCATTCTAACAACCTGTCATACTTAGCGCGTTGAACCACTCTCAGCACAGTCTTGCTCTGCACCCACTCATAACTTATGGAGGGCTGCCCAAAACGTTTTACCAGAGAGCAGGCAAATATGCACTGTTGTAAACAACACTCACAGTTGGCACGACCCTTCTCCCATTTTTACAGATAAATAAAGAAGTGCCCAAGGGGCCACATAACTTGTCCAAGGTCACACGGTAAGTTTGAGACCCAGGCTGCCTGAGTCTAGAGCTCTCCTGTCTCTGTTCCTTGCAGCTGAGTATGTTAGATAAGTAGATCCCTGCAATAACTGATCCCGGGCAAATGGGAAAGGTGGGTTCTTTCTACGTGTTTCAGTGATGCTTGGAATTCAGAAAACTAGAAGCCACTTAAGAGTTCTGGTGTTGCCCTGTAGGATAAGCTCTGGACTGCAAGGTAGGTTTGAACCTTACACAAGGTTGGCAGTTCAAACCCACTAGCTGCTCCTAGGAAACTCTATACAGAGTCACTGTGAGTAGGAACCAAGTCAACGGCACTTAACAGGAAGTCACTTGTAAATGCCCAGCAGTAAAGAATGGATTCAAGAAATGCCGAGGACTCAGGAGAAGCAGAGATGCCAGAGATAGAGGCAGAGACGATGACGATGATGTGGAGAGATGGAGCAGCTGACAGCTGGGGGCAGGCTTGCGTTGTATACCCTTTGGTTGTTTGACGATGCATGGAAGGGATTGTAAGCACAGCAATGAAATGAAATATGATAGGATGAATGTAAAGCTAACGTTCTCTCACGTAAACTATCACATAATTCACAGTAAAAACTGAAAGAAGAAAAGAGAAATACTGAAGAATAAAGCATTCATTACTAAGATTCCTGAAGAATCGTTCATCACGGTTACATTATTGGAGGTCTCGTGTGGCGCTGAGTGGTAAAGCACTAGAACATGGTCACTTTGAACCACAAGGTTGTTGGTTCCAACTAACCAGCTGCTCCTTGGAAACCCTATACAGGGATGGCACTTAACAACAACGCTACATTATTCAATTAAAAAAACCTCTAACAGCATGAGAAATTGCTCATCAATAATGGCAGGAAAAATTCATAGGAGTAAATGACCTAAACAGTCTAGAAGTTTTCAAAGATCTGCTCAGATTTCTAGTTAGGAATTAATACCCAACTTCCCAAGCATCTCTGTGTCTCAACTGACATCTCCCTTCTCTGATACAAGGCCTGCCTTATCCTAGCTTATGCAGGCAGGGAACAGACAGTTTGGATTTCAGGCATAACAATATCAAATAAAAACAAAGTACCCGTGGGACCAAACTGCACACAGCCAGTTGAAAGACGAGACTGGCACCGAAGGGGACAGTGAGTTGGTTTGAATGAGGGAGGAACAATCCCCAAGAGGAGAATGAGAATGAAGGCCCAACCTGAAGGGCGTCATCAGTGTCACTAAATGGTACCTGACGGAGCTGTCAAACTAGTCTCTGTCCGGCTGTGTATATTCTCAATAAGAAGAAAAATAAAAAGGAAATTCAAAGAAAAAAATAAAGGCAACTTAAGTTCTCTTACCAGGATGTCTTTGATTGCAATTCTCATCACTTTTTCCGTCTCATTTATTTCCAGAGGTCTGGCAATCGCCTCTGTTCGCAGTTCCTATGGGAAATAAGAAATCGTGTACTGATGTTTCCATAAGAAGCGTAATCAAAGCCCGTATTCCCTGGACATGGCCGGTGGGCTGGCTCTCAACCATTCCACCACACAGTGCGTCTCTGATGCCCGCACACTCTCAGCATCAGCTCCTGCCAACTCATCCACGCTCATGGCGCTGACTCCTCCCTGTGTTCATCCCAGAATGGTGGCATCCCGGTGACACCTCGTGGCGATGCCACAGCTCCACATAAATCAACAGCGGGGAGCTCTTATCTCCGGCCGTGTCAGGGCCTAAGAACTGGGTCCACGTGCACCACTGCACTATAAACAGAAGAGCCATGGAGAGCCTGGTGCGCCTCATTAGCTGTCTAAATCAGACAGCTTTGTTTCTGCCAATCAAACCTTCCCAAGTGGCAGCCAGCAGGCCAACATGTCAAGAGCAGGGAGGGTGACCAGGCACCCAAGTCCCTCTTTCCCACACTGCCCCCCTTCCAATCTGCTCCTGGAGCACTAATGAGGAGCAGGAGGAGCATGCTAGTGCACCGTCACCGCGGTGACAGAATGCAAGTGCTACAGGGATTGCTCGGCGGCGGCGGTCCTGGACTGGCCTACGAGTGCCTGCTTTTTCATTTAATTTGAAAACACTGGGCATGAGAATGGATGGATGCTTCCAATGCCAGATATCCTCAGGTGAGTTTGAATGATGCTCCCAGTGGTTCCCCCAACTCTGCAGTGCGCTAGAAGTGCCTGGAGACCTTTGAAAAGCAGATGCCTGGCTCTCACCCCCAGTGATTCTAAGGTCCTGTAGGGTGTGGGAGATTTGCTCTTCGTCAGTGACTCACACAGGACTGCTGGCATCAGCTAGTAGAAAGACGGAAAACAAACTTTGAGTGCACCATTATCTTGTGTTGGTTGACAGCAACTGCCTTAAGTCAGGGTCTCCCCAGACCCTGCTCAGCGTTAGAATCATATGGGGAGCTTGCATAACTCCCCCTGCTTGAGTCAGGTGGCACAGGTATTTTTACAACTCCCCCTGCCTGGGTCAGGCAGGCATCGGTATTTTTACGACTCCCCGACCTAGGTCAGGTGGGCATCAGTATTTTTACAACTCTCTGTGCCTGAGTCAGAAAGACAGGCAGACATCAGTATTTTTTAAAGATCCAACAGTGACTGCAACGAGCAGCATGGTTTGGGGACCGCTGGCGTAAAAGTCTTTTACTGAGAGGTATGCTGAGGCTGAGCTCGCAGGATAAAGCCTCATGGTCGATATAGTGTACCAACACTCAGTAGCATGTCCCAGGCCTGCCATTCCTGCCAAGGTAGGAGCTCAGACCAGGGCCCCTAGGAGCAGTAACAGCAGCTGACATTGGAACCATCTTCCCAGAGGTTACCTCATGCAATGGGACAGTTTAATCAAATCAGAACAGAAAAGAGAGAAACAGATGGAAAAAAAAGTTTCTGAGAGAGGGCAGGTTGAGTGAAGGAAATGCTCTCTGAAGGCGGCCTACCCTCAACTCCACCTCCTTGCCCAGCAAGTCGTACAGGGACGCGCCTTTGGAGGTGATCTCAGAGGCAAGCTGCCTGGCTGCTTTCAAATCCGCAATCTGGAAGACAAACAAGAGGATGCAGACAGATCTGTTAGCAGGCCTTCGGCAACGTCAAATGCCCCGAGAGTGCCGCCCCGAGAGCGCCCATCTGTCAGAATCGACTCCCACCTTCCGTCGGGATGTTTGGCTGCAGGACATGTTTCCCAAAACATGTACATACATACATACAGAAGTGTATATGCGTATGTTCATGTATACACCCGCGGCAGGAGAAACAGTCATCTAAATACTTCCAGGACACATGGGTCTCCCCGAAAAAAAACAAACATCAAAGTTCATGTGCAAAAAGGAGGTGAGGCTGAAAGCTGACATGGTTCACAATAAGGCGCCCCGATGTAGTCTGGGGACTGGAGGGGCCAAGCGGAAGGGGCACATTTCCAGAGCAGAACCCTGGTGCCTGATGCTTAGCGTCCTCCACACTGTCCCTCGTCCTCTGCTCTTGTTGTGAGGTTCCACAGCATTAGCAAACAGAAGGTACTTCCAATGGCACGGGCTCTACCATGAGGATGAAGATGAGGAGGAGGAGGGGATTTGCAGGTCACCCCCTCTTCAGTGAGCCCAAACACAGACATGTCCTTTCTCTGCTCACTGCCCTTCCCCTGAACACTCATTCCCACCTGCTTCTTCTCCCGACAAGGAGCCCTGGTGGGGCAGCAGTCTAGCACCTAGCAGCTAACCAAAATGTTGGTGGTTCAAACCCACCAGGGGCTCTGTGGAAGGGAAGACCAGGTGGTCCACTCCTATAAAGATGACAGCCTAGAGAGCCCACAGGACAGTTGCCCTCTGTCACATGGGTTTCCTTCTAAACTCCCAGCAGCAGCCGCAGCAACGATGGCTCTCTTCCCATCTCCTCTGTTCTGCAGCACATCACTCCCTCTAGCTCTAGCTCCTTCCATGACCTTGTGGGGTTAGAGGCCATTCTGATGCACAGCGACCCTGCAGGACAGAGGCGAACAGTCCCCGAGGGTTCCCAGGCTGTCATCTGTATGGAAGCAGACAGTCACGTCTTTCTTCCGTGAAGCCACTGGTGGGGTCCAAGCAGTGACCTCTCTGGTCTCAGCCAAGTGATTACCATTGTCCCACCAGAGTTCTTTCTCCTACCTTTGTTGTCATTACGTGCTGTTGCGTGGATGCCAACTCATAGTGACCCTGTGTAGGGCTTCTGAGGAGCAGCTGGTTAGTTTGAACTTTGTGGTTTAAACCGACCTTGTAGTCCAGTGTTTATCCTACAGTGCCACAGCAGGATTCTTCTCCTCCCTTACTGACAGCAAATCCCCACTGTTCTGTGCAGGCTGCTCCTCACCCTCCCCACATCTCAACACTGGACCGACTCTACCAGAGTGCCCCGCTACCAATTCTGGGTGGACTGGGTACACCAGAGCGCCCCACTACCGAGTCCGAGGTGACAAATAGACTCGAGCGAATAGGCAAATCTTCAAATAGAGGATCCATGAGGAAGGAGGATCAAATGCCAGCACTTGTCTGGTGGGGTCCTGCTGGCTCTCCCAGACCTAGCTGCTTCTTTCATCAGCAGCTGTTCTCCCAGAGCCAGAGCCAGCGCTGGTCACGGGACAGTCATCCTCATTCACACTCCCAAGCACACGGCCTGCCAGATACAACACTGTCCCCACACGTTCTGTTCCCTGTCTATTGTTCAGATACGACACCGTCCTGCACGTTCTGTTCCCTGTCTACTGTTCAGATACAACACCGTCCCGCACATTCTGTTCCCTCTCTACTGTTCAGCTTGGCACAGCACTACCCTCCCTGCTCTACCATACCTTTTACTTCTTTATTAGCAGATTCGCCCCTACCTCAACTAAGCACCGCCAGTGCAGGCTCCCTGTCCTCTCTGTTCATGTCTCCCCAGGACTTGGCACCAAGCAACCCACATCCCAAACGCACTGCCACGAGTTGCTTATGGCTCACAGTGAGCTGAGACTACAAATCTTTACGGGAACCTCATCTTTCTACCAAGGAGCAGCTAACGGATTGGAACCACCGACCTTGTGCTTAGCACCCCAACATTTAACTCACTCCACCACCAAGGGCTTCTTAGTGCTTGGAACAGGGCCTGGCAAACTCTAGGCTTTCAGTGAATCACTGAATTCACTTACTGCGACTGCTGGTTTTATCCAAACCCCGATGGACACAAAACTGATGGGTGGCCCTTGTCGAGGTGTAGGGGAAGGAGCAGTGTCGTGAGGACCAGACATGTCCCACGTTACAGTCTGAGAAACAAACAGCCCGGCCCCTCACCACTAACATTTCCTTTTCCTTACCTTTGAGCCAAGATCAAACTGGAACTTGCTGATGTCTTCCTCTCCTACTTTGGAGCTGTCCATCCGTTTGGTCTTCATCGCGTTATATAGGACAGATGTTATCTTCAGGAGCTCTTTAACTGCATACCCATCTGCTTGATAAAGCTTCTTAGTGTTGAGTTTTATATGGGCTTTGGTGGCCTGTTTTCAGACCAAAAAAAAAAAAAAAATTTTTTTTTGAAGGTTAAGGCCAAAACTGGTGGAATCCCCAAAACTATGACCCTTAGTCCCCCTTCAGGTCTGGAATTGATCTCACCCCCATGGCTCAATTCTCAGCCAAACAATAGACAGGTCTCTAATACCCTTGTTTTGAGGAGGAGTTACGTACTCCTCAGAATAATCAACCATTGGGGATCATACGGCAGCATTTACCCAAGGGTAGAGTTCACAAGGGTGAGGACAGAAGGAATGGAAACAGGAAATGCAGAGAGGAAGATGGATAAGTGATGTTACAGTGTAAGGATTACAATCAATGACATGAGACAAAATGTGTGTCAGTTATAGAATGAAAAACCAATCTGCTCTTCAGAATGTGCAGGGTAAGGGAGAGTCCCCACTGAATAGTTTCCATCTTGTCTACATGGGTCTAGTGAAAGGAGATGGGGATAAGACTCTTATGACAATAGTAACTGTTATCATGACTAATTGTGATTGTCACAACTGTAAAGGTAGAAGTTTTGTAACAAAAAAAGAGGGAGTAGTTAATCTTACAGTCCAGGAACAGACGACCCTACCGACCATCAAGCAAGAAGAGTATGAGCGGAATGCGGGACCCTATCTGGAGAAGCAGCGACACCAAGGACAGAGATGAGGACATGGAAAGAGGGAGTACTTGAAGACTCTAGACTCACGGAAAGAGAAAGGCTGTGTACTGACGGCCAAGAGGCAGGCTTGTAGAATGTGCCCTTCGGTTGTTTAAATGATTATATATTCTTGCGTGTTTTGGTGTACATCCAAAAAACAAAACAGAGGCAACAGAAGCAAATACTGTTGAATGATGATGCATGGAAGGGACTGTAATCATTTCAATGAAAGGAAATACGATGAGTGCAAAACTGATGTTCACCCATTCTCCCATGTAAACTATCACTCAATTTACAACAAAAACTTAAAAAAAACACAGCCCAATCTGCTCTGTAAATCTTCATCAGAATCACCATAAAAAGTTGAAAATAAAACCAAGGATTAGGTCATTTCCATATAATGTCTAGACCAAATCCCAAGAAACCCTAACTAGGTAACTTGAACATGTCCCTGCCAACAGTTGGGATATAATCTGACAGTGTTAAGACTCTAACATTCCAAATGATTCACACATTGCAAGTGAGGTGTTAATTGGTACAACCTTGGTGGAGAGTAACTTGGTCAAAATCACAAATGCCCATGCCTTCAGACCCAGCAATTCCAATCCATGTGACACACCCACACACCAACCTGAGGATGTATGTTGGTTATTCATCACAGGACTGATTCAAAGAGCAAAGATTGGGGCCCTACAGACAATTACATAGATTACGCTACATCCAAGCAAGCGCTACTACTACCCAGGTACAAGAGAGAATAAGCAAATTCCATATGCACTGACTAGGAAAGTTCTCAAAAATAAACTGTTAACTAAAGAAAGATACAAAATAGCATTCAGTTTGCTACCTGTGTAAAAGGAAGGAAAAATCAGAATATATTTTTTTTATTGCTTATATATGCACAAAAAATGAAAAATAGTGGTTACTGATAATGAAATTGAGCTGACACCAGAAAGGGTAGAAAGACACTTTACATTGTTTCATGATTTTTGTTTTTAGATCACGGAAAATATTACCTATTCACAAATATATAGATATAAATAGAGATAGAGATAGAGAGAGAGAGTGAGATATACATAGCTATATATAGATGATACACATCTATAAGGTGAATAACACCAGGGAGGTACACACTCCTTAGAACAATCTACTATACGAGATTTAAAGCGCAGCATTTACCCAGGCAGGGAGAGGCAAGAGAGGGAGGAAACGGGAAACACAAGGAGGAACTGGGAAGGGTGCTGTTTAATTTTAGGGACTGCAATCATTGTCACAAAACAAAATGTGTATGGATTGCTCAATGGAAAACCAACTTACTCGGTAAACTTTTACCCAAATCGCAATAAACAGAATTCTTAACAAGTAACAGAGGAAAACAACAACCTGTGTTTGTAAAACGGCTCCACAGAAACCTGGTAACGAACGGACGGGTCTAGGCAAAGTAAAAGCCCAGTTGGAAAACACTTGTGAGTGGGACTCGCCCCGGTCTAATTTATTTCGTTTTACAACTTCCACAAAATAACCAAGAACTAACCATGAACTGGGCAATCGCTTTAATGAGGAACACTCGGTCTTGTTCCGTCTCAATGTCAGAAGGGATGTCTGTGTGCGGTTCGTACCTACCAGAGAGAGAAGAGGAGTGAATTGTTAGCAAGTCCCCAAGAGGAAGTGGGCAGCTATGGGACAATGGATCGGCAACAGGAGGCTCTAAGGCCCCAGCTGAGGTGGTGACACTGAGAGACTTCACAGAGACACAAAATGCTTACCAAACAACCAAGGGAGCAAATCCCCTTCTATAGACAGGTTTGACTGAAATTCACATCAGAGGCTCAGCTTATAAAATAAAATCATAGTTTCATTCAAATATCCAGAACTGTCGCTCTGGCTGATAGCCTTTGGCCCAGAAAAAAACTCTTGGGCTAATTAGTTTATTTTCAGAAGCAACCTGAAAATACTCATGACCTTCCAGGGGTCAGCAAACCGCAGGCCTTGGCCAGCTTTTGTCCAGCTTAAACCTGATTTTCACCTTTATAAAGGACTGTAAACACCTTGTTTGCCTGTGCTTGGCTTTACTGCATTTCAATTTTATAAATTACAGGCTGCTGGGAACCCTGTGAACAGCAAGTCTACCAGTGCTATTTTCCTAACAGCATGTGTCACCTTTTGGTCATTCTCACAATGTTTGTAATTGTGTCAGAATGCTAGTGCTGTATGTACACTTTTATAGCAGACTAGTGTGGTGCCCATATAACTTTTCCAAGCACTGGGAAGCCCAAAGTTTCGTTCAATACACTTTATTGCACCATTTGCTTTATTACCGAACCAGCAATATCTCGGAGGTCTTTTGTACAAAACAAAAGCAAAATTTAGAAATCTATGTGAGAGGCCTTATATAGCCTTCAAAGCCCAAAATATTTACTATTTGACCCATTAGAGAGAAAGTTTGCCAAACTCCAAATCTTAACTAGATTTTTCATACAAAGGAAATCCTAAATGATCCCCGCCTCAGTGTACTCATTACAGGGTACAGGGGGATTCCTGTGACCCGGGGGAGAGGATGAAGAAAGCCTGGGTCACAGCTCTGGCACCTGCTCCCATAAGAAATCATCTCTTGTGGGGTGGGGGGGCAGGTGTTAAAACAAAAAAAAAAGAGAGAGATGATTGAGCTGATTCAATCTGCTGAACTTGACCTATGCATACCAATGCAGTGACTCAAAAGTGGCAACAAATCCTTACAGCAGGAAACATTCCCACCCCCTCCACACACAGAGTGGACAGAGATGGGCAACTTGGACATTGGATACCCAAATGGGGAAGGAGGGACTACAAAGGCAAGAAGTGACTGGCTTACAAGCTTTCAAGAGGGAACCTAGAGCCAGGGGGCATGGAGGAAGGCAGACTCACCAGTGAGTACTATCCAATTTGTCTAGGTGGAGCTGATGAAATGAAATGCAGATGGGTAACATGCGATACTGTAGTGAATAATGGTTATCAGAACGGATTGTGAGTGTTGGAAATGCAAAGATGGACATTTTGTGGCAAGGAAGGGAGCGACTGTTTCTCCAGTCTAGGAGTGGAGGTCTCTGGGACCACCAACGTAGAAGAGCGGGACCCTACCCAGAGCGGGACCCTACCCAGAGAAGCAGGGATGCCTGAGATGGAGACAGGGAAGATGACATGGAGGGATGGAGTGGATGGAGACTTTGGATCCAGAGAGAGAGGGGAACTGTGGGCCGAAGACTGGGGGGTAGGGGAAAGTGCAGAGGACGGGCTTCCAGGATATGCCCTTTGAACGGGAGATGATACACGCAGGGGATTGGAACCATGGCAATGTAATGATATGCGATGGAATGAATGTAAAACTAGAGTTCTCTCATGTAAATTATCATATAATTCACAATAAAACATTGAAAAAAAAAAGAAAGAAATCATCTCTTCTGATCACTATCCGGTGTGGTCACCCCTCCTACCTCGTTCCTTAAACTCAGTTGTTTTTAACAGGCTACAATGCAGTCTGTCAAACATAAATTTTATTAAACGCTTCTTCTGCCTCACAATAGTAATTTCTAGGAGCTAATGTCAGGAATCCTGGTGTGGCGCTGTGGGTTAATGCGATAAACTGCAAAGTCCGTTTAAACTGCAAGGTTGGCAGTTCAAGCTCACCAGTCACTCCTTGGAAACCCTCTAAAGGGTTGCTATGGGTCGGAACCATCTCGATGGCACTTAACAACAACGTCTGGTAATCATCTTCAGACCTTAAAGGGGCAACATGCTAACCTTTTCACAAGCCACAGCAGCACTTCGGATACAAGTCCAAAATTGGGCGTGCGGAAATTCTCCATAGAAATATGCCGAGGGTACCCTAAGGCTCTCATCATCTCTGTGAAATCTGTGCAAGGCAAAAGAGAATTCATCAAGAAGCTACTCAATTTCTTATTCATAAACCAATTTAGTTTCCTTTCTTAACTTTCACGAAGAAAAAAGATCAATTTTTAATAAGATTTAAATTCGATCAGGCACCCAATCTGCTACCTACAAAACACAGATTTAAGTTCAAAGGGCTAAGTAGTGAAAGTTATACATTAAAATGAGGTTTAGGGATCATGAAACAAAAGGTATTAATTGTTGTATGGAAAACCAATTTGCTGTCACCCCAAATCACAACAAACTGTTTTCAAACATGAATTCAGAGGTTGGCTGAGTATCTCTTTTCAAGACCTCAGTTTTCTTGTTTATATCCCCTAGCACTGCGGCTTCCTACAAAGAGCCCTGGACTGGGAAACCCAGTTATCTGTATTTCATGCCCACCAAACATTCCACAGGAAAAAGATGAGGTTTCTGCTCTTGCAAAGACTTAAAGCCTCAGAAACCCTATGCAGGGTTGCTACGAATCAGAACTCCATCATAGCACTTAACAAAGCTGAGCACTAGGTGCCCTGGTGGACCACTCACTGGTTAAGTACCCAGCTCCCACTGATAGGCAGGCAGTTCAGACCCACCAGAGAGAAAGATGTGGCAGTCTGCTTCCCTAAAGATTACACACAGCCTTGGAAACTTTATGGGGCAGGTCTCTGTCCTGTGGGGTCTTTATTAATCAGAATCACTCCAGGGCAGTGGATGGGTAAGCAGATGGGTACTGGAATTCCACTCAAAACCAGTCTGCGTTACGGCTGCCCCTGCCTCCATGACTTGTGTGCCCTTTAGTCGGCTCGACTCTCCACATGACCATGTAAACATAAATTGACTACGAAATGGATAAAGTTAACAATTCAGGCTTCAATCTCAACAGCCAAGTTTCAAGTGTTCAACAAACAGCCACATGCAGTCACTGACAGATGGAGAATTTCCCACCATCGCAAAGAATTCTGTAGGGCAGGGTGGGGGCGTTGGCCTGGGGTGTGGCGGCGAGTCAGGGGCAGTCTTCGAGGCATGAAGCCCAAAGGGGGACGCTGGCAGAGCGGGGAACTAGCCAGAGGTACCACGAGCGCCCCAGATCTAAGGAACTCCCCGGTAGCGCGAGGACATGGCCGGGAGCACTACCATATCCCAGATCTAAGCAACTTCCGGTAGCGCGGGGCCGGGGCCGAGAGTACCACCGAATCCTAGATTCAAGGAACTTCCGGTAGCGCGGGGTGGGTAGTAGTACCGCATCCCAGATCTAAGGAACTCCTGGTAGCGTGGGGACCGGGCCGGGAGTACCACCCGGCGCCCCAAGTCTGAGGGGATCTTCCCGGAGAGCCGGGGGCGCCTTGGGGCGCTCGAGGGCCGCAGACACAGGGGGTTGCCTTACTGCGGAGGTCGCGGAACGACATAGCGCGCGAGTACACCAGTAGCACCGAGTTTCAGTTGCACTCCTCAGCAATCTCAGGCCTAGCGCTCACCTATCTCCATAGCAACCGACGGCGCGCGACCGGGACCAAACATGACCTGCACGCGAAGCAGCTAGTATATGTGCGCATGCGTAGAAGGGACTGTTTGCTGGGCGTGTTAAAGCCGGGAGCCCAGCGCTTTGGAAATCAGTATTTTTTAGCACTGAGTGACATTGTGTGGCAATCTGCTTCAGTAAACCCAGTAAAGGAGTTCTACTTTATCCCAGGAACCGACTCCACGGCACACCGCCACCACCACCACCTCCACTTTGTTCCATAGGGTCACTGAGTCAGAATCGATTTGACGGCAGTGGTTTGGTTTGGGGTTTGGACATTTTGAGCGTCTTTGGAGTCCTGGTCCCGACCCATAGCGACCCTGTAGAGGGTTTCCAAGGAGCGACTGGTGAGCTTGAACCACCAACCTTGCAGTTCAAACCGACTTTGCAGTCTAGCGTATTAACCCACAGAGCCACATGGAAGCAGCAGTCAAGAATCAAACCACATATTGCATTAGGCAAATGTGCTGCACAAGACCTTTTTAAAGTGTTGAAGAGCAAAGATGTCAGCTTGAAGAATAAGGTGTGCCTGACCCAAGCCATGGTATTTTCAATAACCTCGTATGCATGCAAAAGCTGAATAAGGAAGACCGTAGAAGAATTGATGCCTTTGAGTTATGGTGTTGGAGGAGAATATT